GGCGGCGGCGGCGGCGGCGGCGGCGGCGGCAGCAGCAGCAGCAGCGGCTCTGGGAACGACACTTCAGCCCAGACCCCGGGAGAAGAAGTCCCCGGTTCCCGCAGCGGCAGCCCCACCTCTCCTGGCCGGTACTGTTGTCGGTTCCCTCCTTTCCCTCCCCATTCCTTCACCCCTCCACGGGTCCTTGGAAAGACTGAGACTTTGATTTTCCTGGACAAATTGACATCTGCCCCATTTCCACAAACTTGACGTGGAGGCCCGGTTTTGTGGTTGGTAACTTTGGTTTCCGAGACGCAAACGCCCGCTATCCCTCAATCGTTCTGGGGGAGGTGATTCGGCGCCCACCTCAAATTCTGTACAGACGTCCCCCTCCCAAGCCCTCTGCCGCTTACCTCACCGCGAGGGATTGCGCTCTTGATTTGGCAGCCTGTCTCCCCTCCCCCTTCCTGTGTCACCCCCTCGGACCGCCGCCATCCGGCTCTGCCAGATCCCCTGACGTTCTGGGCACTTGCTAGCAACTCAAGCTTCCGCCTGCAAACCCCTTCTTTCCCTAATAGGCCTCGAAGAACCCAGTGTGCCCCCCCCGACCCGGGAGGGAGCGTACCAGGCGGGTCCTCTCTCTGCAGTGAGCTGGGAGAGCTGGGGGGAGGTCCTTGCGCATGCCAGGTGCACCGACACGGCGCTCGCCAGCCTCAGTGCTTGTGCGCTGCGGCGGGTCGGTCTGTGTCTGAAAGGTTGCGTCCCCACTGCTTTCCGCAGCTTTGCCCCATAAGCTCTTTGGACTCAGCCGCTGTTCCTCTGGGAGGTGCAGACGCCACCCGACCTGCAGCCCTGCGCAGCTGCAGTCAATCGCGCCCAGCTATCTTTGAAGGGGGAAAACTGAGTAGCCGGGCTGGAGGGAGGGGGCTCGGGGCCGCGCGGTGCTCCCTCGGGCCCTCGGAGTCCCCGGGCCCCCAGCGAGCCCCCGCCGAGTCCACTGCAACCTCAGCATTGGAGCCGGCCCGGGTATTTTCCCCGCGCCGCCGGGCCGCCCTTGGCGGGACTCCTCCCGCGGCCTCCGGGGCCACGGGGCGCACGCAACAGGCGGCCCGAGCCAGCGGGAAGCTGGAGCGCCGGCGGCGTCGGCCTCGGAGGGGTGTGGAGCGGCGAGGCCAAGCAGAGCCCCGCGCAGCTATGGAATCACTCCTGCTGCCGGTGCTGCTGCTGTTGGCAGTACTGTGGACCCAGGCGGCCGCCCTCATTAACCTCAAGTACTCAGTAGAAGAGGAGCAGCGCGCTGGGACAGTGATCGCTAACGTGGCCAAGGATGCGCGAGAGGCGGGCTTCGCGCTAGACCCCCGCCAGGCTTCTGCCTTTCGCGTAGTGTCCAATTCTGCTCCGCACCTGGTGGATATCAACCCCAGCTCCGGCCTGTTGGTCACGAAGCAAAAGATCGACCGTGACCTACTGTGCCGCCAGAGCCCCAAGTGCATCATCTCGTTGGAGGTCATGTCCAGCTCAATGGAGATCTGTGTGATTAAGGTGGAGATCAAGGACCTGAACGATAACGCACCCAGTTTCCCGGCTGCGCAGATAGAGCTAGAGATCTCGGAAGCCGCCAGTCCTGGCACGCGCATTCCATTGGACAGCGCCTATGATCCAGACTCGGGCAGCTTTGGTGTGCAGACTTACGAGCTCACACCCAATGAGCTGTTCGGCCTGGAGATCAAGACTCGCGGCGACGGGTCACGCTTTGCTGAACTCGTGGTGGAGAAGAGCCTGGATCGTGAGACACAGTCGCACTATAGCTTTCGAATCACTGCGCTGGACGGCGGCGACCCACCACATCTAGGCACAGTTGGCCTCAGCATCAAGGTGACAGACTCCAATGATAATAACCCGGTGTTTGGCGAGTCCACCTACGCGGTGAGTGTCCCTGAGAACTCACCTCCCAACACACCCGTCATTCGCCTCAATGCCAGTGACCCAGACGAGGGCACCAACGGCCAAGTTGTCTATTCCTTCTATGGCTATGTCAACGACCGCACAAGAGAACTCTTCCAAATCGACCCACACAGCGGCTTGGTAACAGTCACGGGTGCCCTAGACTATGAAGAGGGCCACGTGTATGAACTGGACGTTCAAGCCAAGGACCTGGGACCCAATTCTATCCCAGCACACTGCAAGGTCACCGTCAGCGTGCTGGACACCAATGACAATCCACCGGTTATCAACTTGTTGTCGGTCAATAGCGAGCTTGTGGAGGTAAGCGAGAGCGCCCCCCCAGGCTACGTAATCGCCCTGGTTCGAGTATCTGATCGCGATTCCGGTCTCAATGGACGTGTGCAGTGTCGTTTGCTGGGCAATGTGCCCTTTCGGCTACAGGAGTATGAGAGCTTCTCTACTATCCTGGTGGATGGAAGGCTGGACCGCGAGCAACACGACCAGTATAATCTTACAATCCAAGCCCGAGACGGCGGTGTCCCCATGCTGCAAAGTGCCAAATCCTTTACTGTGCGCATCACTGATGAGAACGACAACCACCCCCACTTCTCTAAACCCTATTATCAGGTCATTGTGCAGGAGAACAACACACCCGGCGCTTATCTGCTCTCTGTGTCAGCCCGAGACCCCGACCTGGGGCTCAATGGTAGTGTCTCCTATCAGATCGTGCCTTCTCAGGTACGGGACATGCCTGTATTCACCTATGTCTCAATCAACCCCAACTCTGGAGATATCTATGCGCTGCGGTCTTTCAACCATGAACAGACCAAGGCATTCGAATTTAAGGTGCTGGCAAAGGATGGGGGCCTGCCCTCCTTACAGAGCAACGCCACAGTGCGGGTCATCATCCTGGACGTGAATGACAATACCCCGGTTATCACGGCCCCGCCCCTAATCAACGGCACTGCGGAGGTCTACATTCCCCGAAACTCCGGCATAGGCTACTTGGTGACCGTAGTTAAGGCAGATGACTATGATGAGGGAGAAAATGGCCGAGTCACCTACGACATGACCGAGGGCGACCGCGGCTACTTTGAAATAGACCAGGTCAACGGTGAAGTCAGAACCACCCGTACCTTCAGCGAAAGCTCCAAGGCTTCCTATGAGCTTATTGTGGTGGCACATGACCACGGCAAGACATCTCTTTCTGCCTCTGCGCTCGTCCTAATCTACCTGTCCCCAGCTCTTGATGCTCAGGAGTCAATGGGTTCGGTAAACCTGTCCCTGATCTTCATTATTGCTCTGGGCTCCATCGCAGGCATCCTTTTTGTCACCATGATCTTTGTTGCAATCAAGTGCAAGCGAGACAACAAAGAGATACGGACCTACAATTGCAGGTAGAGCTAACTTTTCTCTTTCCTTCCCTGTCTTGGATGAGACAGGTGTGTGTATTTATGTTGGTGTGAAACCACCAGTGCTTTTGTTTTCTACTTAAATGCATGCAGCATATTCACAGTGCTTCTCCGTGAAAGGTGAAAATTTTGTGACAGTCTAAATTGATCAATTCTTTTGATCTGACAATTTGCTGGAAGACAATCATTTACTGTTTGAATGGTTCTGTCACATAATGATGATGAGCAGAAAAGCAATTAGCATTGTAAAATTTACACAGGTGTCTCCACTGAACTTGCAGTAGAAAAAATTAGGGAGGGAGAGGAGGAAGAAGAAAGGGAGAGAAGAGAAAAATAAGTGAAAGACAGAGTGTCAGAGAGTCATATTTTCAACAAAACCACTAAGCACCATAATTTAATTTGCAGGGGCACAATGATGTTTTGGTAACCGGTGTTGACATTACAGGGAATACAGACAGCTACCCTGTCCTGCTGTATGGATAGACTCTAGAGAAAGCTTGATAGTGAAAGTCTAAGATGAGAAAGAGTAGGGGAGAGAGAGCAGGAGTGTGTTGGAAAGCATGTGATTAGTGTTTTGTAGTCTATTCTTGGCTTGTTTTGTAACCAGTCCCCAAACAGCTGGCTATATAAAGTGAGATTTTGTCAAGCATCTGTATGTTTTCAAATATCTGTTTGGTTGGTTGTTGTGTGGAGATCAAACATCCCAATGAGGGACAAGACTTTGCATCCAGATGTTTCAGTTAAAATAGAAATCTTTGTGAATTGGTGGGGCTTGCCTCTAATGTGGGACTGTGCTGTGGCATTAAGATCCGGTTGCTACCAGTGGATGTCACTATGGGCTATTGTGTTACATTTTCCCTTGAAGCATGTGCAGGATGTATGTATAGGAGGGAATTAGAAAAGAGGAGAAGACAGGGCAGAAGAGGAATGTGGAAACTTAAATGTTGTGTAGTTTTTTAAAAAAAATCCTCATTAGAGCATCAGAGGCTTTTGCTGAAATCTTTTCTTACAATTTAGTAGAACAAATCAGTCTAAGAATTTCTGGAATCCACCTTCAGATAATACAGTTAACAATTTTTCCAGCAGTGTCTCATCGAAATGGTTGAAAAAAAGTTGTTTCTTTACTTTGCTGAAAATGAATGATGTTGTTATTTCCATTCAAGGTGTGTGTGTGTGTGTGTGTGTGTGTGCGCGCGCGCGTGCGCACGCGTGCGTTTTCTGTACACTTACACATCCAGTGTGTCTTTTGTGCCATCTGTGCCATTGCATGTTAATCAATCAAAATACGTTCCTGTAGGTCCGATTTGTATTTGACACCATCTGAAATACACACTTCTGTGAATCAGAGCCCTCTGAATATGTAAGAGCCATGCAATTATTGTTTCCCTTTTACTATTCTCTGCATTACACAAGTTAGTAGACAAATGCTAACCACACATGAATATCAATCAGGTGCCATAAAAGAGCAGCTGCAATGCCTCATAAATGCTTTAATCCTGTTACTAGTGAAATGGCCATGACTTTTCTTTCCTTCAGCATCGAGTCATTTCAAATAGGAGAAATGGAAATTAATATTGCTCTTACCTTTGAAACCTGTGACTGCCAGTGGTGCTTTTTATAGGAGAAAAATGCAGGGTCAATAAAATTTTATTTATATAGACATAATAATAGAGGGAACACTTTTTAAGCTATTTTCTCAGCATAGAGTAAATGCATAAGATCTCTTCCTTGAAGAAAAAGAAACCAGCTTGAAATAAAGATATTGAAGGCTTTGCCACCCCTTGGTGATGTATCACTGTAAGTAAGAGTTCTTTCTGAGAGCTTGCCAGGGAGATCATTAAACAGGGAGGAAAGCTTTTGAAGTAGGAAAAGAGTGCAACTTTACCTAAATGTATATTTTGTAAAGCACTCTCTTCCCTGTGATTGTTTGGGATTAATGAAGTACAGTTTATTTAAATAATTGGTCAGTACACAAAGGGCTGTGCAATGAACGCCTCAGCTGAATAATTGAGTGGGGCATTTCCAAACTTAGCAATCGCTGGTAAAAAAAATTGAATAGAACTTTCCATTGATTGCCTAAACAGATTAGAAAATAAAATCAACCCTAGTCCTTGGGTTTTGGAGACTTTATCTGCTACCAAGTCTCAATAGCATTAGTTTGCCATCATTACAAGTGGGCCTGGGTACAGAATGAAAGGATGAGGGGACCTCAATTACTGAGCTCTAGGTAGATCCTGAGGACAGCAAGAATTTGCCTCTGAAAATGTGCACTTTCCCCATCTGCTCATAAACCTAAAGTTCAAGAGCTTTTCTTTCTATGTGATTAGGTAGAGGTTTCTTGTTCTCAGCTTCTACAGAGCTTCTTCCTGAAATCCATTCATTTATGAGACTTGTGAGATGATCTGAAATTGCTGCTTGAGTTGGGCTTGCTTTTTGTACTCAGACAATTCGCTTTGCCATGTGAGAATACCGGAACAATCTTTCCCTTGTAAAGACCACCCTGTATTATTTATTAATCCTATTGTTTTGCTGATGATTGCCCAGAAATTGAATTTTCAAATAATAAACCAAAGTCATTATATGCTATGCAAAGTAATGCATGGCATTGAGAATCTAGCTACATTTTAATGTATTTCTTTTGACAAGTCTCTTAATGCTTGGTGTCTTTGGTGCACGTTGCTGAGTCTGTGTCAGTGTTAATTAAATTGAGCTCTTTATGTTCCAGTTGCAGCACAGCTGCTTGTAGGTACACCTGAATGGAGAAGGATGCTGAATGCACTAACCTTTAAATTCCTTTGCAGTAATTGTTTAACCATCACTTGTCTCCTCGGCTGTTTTATAAAAGGACAAAACAGCAAGTGTCTGCATTGCATCTCAGTTTCTCCCATTAGCGAGCAGCAAGACAAAAAGGCAGAGGAGAAAGTGAGCCTTAGGGGAAAGAGGTAAAAAGGCATTTCCCCTCATTCAAATGGGTTTGGTTATCACATTTCTGTAGGAGAGGAGGGGGAAGGGTGGAGAGTAGAAGAGAACCTGGCTAGGGTAGGGAGGAGGATTTGGAAGGAAGGAGCTGATGAGGCTTTAAAGGACTGGAGCAAATCTATCCCAGTCCAAAAACTGATCAGGTCACTTTAAAGAGGAAGCTGATGGAGGGTGGTTTTTTCTTAATTTTTATTTTTGAGTGTTTTGTTTTGTTTTGTTTTGCCACTTGACAAATGCCTGGAGGAAATGGCAAGGGGATTACATTTTTATTTTCTTCTATTTCTTCTTCTGTTAAATTGGGACTTGCTTCTTATTTCACCCAGGAGCTCCTTTGGGTTCCAGGGAAGTTCCAAATTTGAGCATTTTCGTGCTTTCTCTCCCATAGGCTCAAGTTTTTCCCATCCCTTACCCCACCTAACTGGCCACTCCTAATGAAAAAATCCAGATCTAATGTACAGGAAGTTTTTTCTTTTCAGGGGGTGGTGGTGGGAGGTTACTATGTTTAATTTGAGAACTTCATGGCCCTTAGCTTGTTTTCACATGTAAGAAGCACAGGGAGAAACCCGATGATGTAATGCACCAGAATAAGGAGCTGGAGCTGAGATGGGGTGCAACCTCTTGGGTGCTTAATGTTTATTAATCAGTGCATGGTTTGGGAGGGTGTTATCGATTCATGCTCCCTTTTCTGTCACATAGAATTGCTGAGTACTCCTATGGGCATCAAAAGAAATCAAGCAAGAAGAAAAAAATCAGCAAGAATGACATCCGTCTGGTACCCAGGGATGTGGAGGAGACAGACAAGATGAATGTTGTCAGTTGCTCCTCCCTGACCTCCTCTCTCAACTATTTCGACTACCACCAACAAACACTGCCCCTAGGCTGCCGCCGCTCTGAGAGCACTTTCCTGAACGTGGAGAACCAGAATACTCGAAATACCAGTGCCAACCACATCTACCATCACTCTTTCAATAGCCAGGGTCCCCAGCAGCCAGATCTGATCATCAATGGTGTGCCCCTGCCTGAGGTAAGTGCAGCTACATGCTCTTTGAGGTCCTCCTAGACTTTTAGAAGGTGCTTGGTATGCCATCACCACTCTCTTGGCACATCCCCTGGCAGGGATAGGGAGAACTTCTCTGCCTGAGCCCAGTGCTTCTTAGGGCAACAAGTATCCCTACATAGAGGACTTTTGTGTAGGGGTGGGAATTAAGAGCTCAATACTAAGGAATATGAGCCCTTGAAATCTCTCTGTAGTGTCCTAAGAACTTTGTTCCACCTGTTGAAAATATGCCATATTTGGCATCTAGTGTTACCAATATGCTAGTTGAAGTAGCTTAGAATGAGTCACCAAATAATGATGAAAATGAATGAAGCCCTCTAATGCTTGGAGGCCAGTTTTTCCTCTTGTGAGTGATTCAGCTTCCTATATCTCCCTCTTGCCTTTTCTTCTTCACACTACTCTTCTCTAGCATCTTGCCAAGAATATGGATGGTCTGGTTAGTGGGAGACAAGCAAAAAAATAAAAATAAAAAGCAGCTTTGCTATCTCATAGCAATTCTTGTAATAATGTTTGACAGATGAGGAGATTGAAGCTGTCACTGATACGAATATTTTAAGAATTTGCTATTCATTTGAGTTAACTGTTTCCTTTTACTGTGAGTGTTTTTAAATGGATGCATTAAAAACACAATGTGGTCAGGTGTTTGTTGGCTATTGAAGTATTTCAGAGTAATAAAGTGATAACGTGAATGATAGTGAGTGGGTGACTCAGTAGAAGGTTATAAATAAGTTTCTAAATTGATTTCATTTTTCCAAAAATTCCTTAAGTTCCTCTTTAGCTGGAAATTTGATGCACTGGGAAGCGATGCCCTAGTCCAGTCCACTAATTAAGGGAATACTGTGTAATTGGAGAGTACCTTCACAGCATTGTTTCATTTGGAACTTGAAATCAGTTATCTTGGTATATTCCCATTTAGTAGATGATGAAACAAAGGCCCAGATATGTTAAGACTCCAGAGCTGGTCATCAAGGGAGTGAGGAACCAGTCACAATACTCTACAGTCCCTGAAAAGTGCTGTTTTGTTGATACCTTCCTGCCTCAGAAACAACTCCTTCCTATACCCAGAGTATTAGGCATCGACAAAATGGCTTCATAGTGTTTATATAAACTTTTTAGGGCAAAAGGGTCCTAAGACAACTCACATTGGTTGCTTCTAGTTTCTGAAAAAAATAATATCTGCCAGAATTATTGATAGAAAAATCAGTCCTTTTAATGAACAACTGATTGTATGCTGCTACTAGCAATGAAAGCACCAGCGTTTTTATCCAGTCATCTCTTGCTATGAAACCTCTCAGAGTATTTCCTCATCTACAAAATAGGTGCATCTATCATGAAAGAGTTTTCCATAGATAAATATGACTTTATGCATTGCAACACAAAATCCTTTGCAGATACCCCAAAAATGTTAAATATTTTTACTAGCCACAACTGGAGAATCATGATTGGCAGTGGTCTCTTTACCTGAGATTGTCTTCCCAGATATTTTTAACCAAAGAGATATTTACACTGGTTATATATAGATATGGTCTACAAAGTTATGTGCACAGATGACTTATACTGACCATTAAACATTTGAGGTAAAAGATACCAAGGTTGTGGGTTCAGTTGCTGATACTACTATTGCTTGGGAAGATGGAATAAAGCATTGAATTCTGAGGACATGACAATCACTTTGCAACCAATTCAAGGATCCATGGAAATGTGAGCCCTGATAAAATATATGGAAGAGGCAAGAGACACAGGACTGTGATTACATGTTTTATCCAAGATTTCGGTATCCTTTCTAACATTCTTCTATGGAAAGAATGAAACAAAGGTAATCTCTCAGTTTTGATGCTGTACTTGACTCCAAAGCTAGACAATGCCCCTTTTTTATTAAAAATTACACATATCTGGTTGTGCAAGGCTAGGTGGGTCCAAGCTAGCATGTACCATGAGGTTAAAAGTGATTTCTGCAATGCGGTTCTAAAGAATTCATAGCTGAGCACAGAATAGGCCATTTAGCTTGCATCTTTCACATAGTCTTGCAGAGGAAAAATGACATTTCTCCTTTCCTCCCTTAAAAGAAGTTCCTGAACAAAAATTATATTAAGTGAAGTAAGCCAGGCCCAAAGAAACATAGGTCCCATGGTTTCCCTTATTTGTAATATCTAGTATATGTATGAGTCAAGCGGAAAAGGTCAGATAATGTGATGTCAGGAAAATGAACCGGTAGATGTGTATTTTAATGTTTTTTTCTTTCATGCATGTGTTTCTAACGCATTTATAAGATTATCTCTTTGTTGCTTTGTATGTCCCTCCCCCACAGTATAACCCCTGCTTTCACTATATTTGATGTCAGTATAACTTGTGGAGGAGATGGGGAAAAACCAGTTGTTTAAGGATATAGGTGGACCTGTTGCAACAATGAGAAGTACAAGTTGTCATGTCCAAAACGAACTTTACAACGTCGGTGCGGGGGGGGGGGGAGGGGGGGGAAGGAGAAGGATTGGGATTGGGGGGGAGGGGGGAGGCTGGGAAGGGATGTGAAGGGTAAACAAAGGAGGAGGCTGCAATGCTTGGTAAGAAATGTATGCATTATCCTGCCCATGTAATTGTAACTCCTCTGTACAGTATGTTCACAAATAAAATTAAATTAAAAAAAAGAAGTTCCTGAACATAGGCTGGCTAGAATAGAATAATAGGAATGCCTGATTCATTTATTCATTCACCTGGTATTTGTAGGGTGCCTGCTCTTTGTCAAATGTTCTAGCAATGGATGCATATTCTAATGGGGAGACAGGCAAGGAAAATCATTTCTAATCTCCTATTATTTTGTAGGTGAGATGCATTGAGATTCCTAGGATAATAACATTATGGTATATTTCCTATTGTCTCCTTATATTTTTCACATTAATTAATCCATCTAAGAAATATTTATTAAGCAATTATAGCTTTGGACAATGACTACTATGATGTGATAAGTATAAGACTCTATAGTAATATCTCTATTGCATTTATATGTCACTTCCATTGTCCTTTATTTCATTTGTTCTGTAATTCAACCCACTAGCATTTACATATATAGAATGTGGCAGTCACAGTTCTTACCATTTTCTTGGAATACAAAAATAAAATACTTGATCTTTGATCCAGGGAGCTTAAGGGAATTGAACATGTAAACAGAAAATTTCAATTCAAGGTAATATATCATTCCTGAGCACATTATAATTCTTCAGATAGGGACCCAAAGTCACTAACATTCAGATCCTCTACCTGGACACTTTTTGTGATAAATATCCATCCTTCATTAGAGCTGTGCAGACAGGAATAAGGCTTACTTGAAATGGCATTGTAGATCAATAGTCAGAACTGCCGTCCTCATCTTGTGCTTTGTCCACTCCATCATAACTGTGTAATGTATTATCATGACATTAGATCAGATCGGTAGGCATATCAGAACATCCACTGTGATCAGCTACACAGCAACTGAGGGAGTTGTCAGTATAGTTGTGGAGTTGAGATCATCCATATGATTCACTGTGCAAGAAGTACAAGGTTAGTTTCTAATCATGTGTTAGTTTGGAGGCTCTTTGGGACTCTCTTCCTCTAAGACAATGCTGCTATTATTTCTATGTGAATTAAGTGTTGACTTGTCAGGGTTTGGTTGAGAATGACTTTTTCTAGTGGTGGCGATGAACCCAGGGCCTTTTGTATGCTAAGCATTCTAGGCAAGTGCTATAATACTGAGGTATGGCCCCAGTCCATAGAGTGACTCGTATGTCACTGTGTCCATGTACAAACACATTAATCACATTATTTGCACTAATCTATTATTTTGAAGGTGAGTTGCAAGGAGATTCCTAGGATCATAATATTATGGTATATAATCACATCTGAATATTGTCAGCTCTAGAAACAATGTAACATGACTTTGAACATAGGTATGTAAGTAAAAAGAGTGAAAGCTTCTCATATTGCACAGATAATCTTGCATAGAATTGTATATTGTTATTTACCTGTCCTCTGGTGTTGTTTGGGAAGTTAGCTATGTGGACTTGGTTGTTTTTTACATAAATTTGAGGAGGCAAAAGTGGAAGATTTCTTTGTTTATATATATATATATATAGTTGTAAAGATACTGTACAGAGGGGCTACAGTTACATGAGTAAGGTAATGAGTATATATCCTATCAAGCATTATTACCCCCTCCTTTGTTTTTCCCCTATCATCCCTTCCCTCCCTCCCTTGCTCCTCCCTCCCCTACTCCCCCCTGCAAAGTTGTAAAGTTCGTTTTCAACATAGTGTCTTGTACATCTCATTGTTACAATGGGTTAACCTGTATCCTTATTTCAGCATTTTGTTATTTCCCTTCCCCTCCTCAAATTAGAAAAATGTATATACAAGATGCAGGGCACCAGAATCAAATATAGTTAAAACAGGAGTTATACCATGTGGGAAGAACATACAAGAGAAACAAAAAAATACATAGTACATTATAAGTACATGAAAAACATCAGCAACAAAGAGAAAACCTCTTTTGTCCCTATCTTGGGGTTCATTTTGCTCAGAAGACTTTTGTAGAATTAGTGATACCAGGTATTTAAAATGTTTTAAACTGGAGGGTGAGATTTGCATTCTTGGCATCCTATATTTAGTTTATAGAATCTGTGTGTGTGTATGTGTGTGTGTGTGCGCACACGTGTGCGTGCATGAGCACATGCACAATGTGCGCATGGATGAGGGAAAAGAGTCAAAGAAGAAGAAAGAAGGTTGAAAAGGGAGAATGAAGACAGTTTGTCGGGTTGCTTAGATCTTTTTTGAAAATATTAAATTTGTTTTTTTTATTGTGAAAATACTGTATAGAAGGTTTACAAGTACATGGGCAAGATAATGAGTACATTTCTTATCAAGCATTGTAGCCTCCTCCGTTGTTTCCCCTTCCCATCCCTTCCTTTGAGAGCTCCTTAGTATGCTTATATTTTTCT